CATGGCAAATATAAAATCCTGCTGTCAAAACAGTTTCTGATATTCTTTAAATTGAGTGCCTGAACGAATCAGATAGGTAACTCTTTTTACTTTCGTGAAATAGAAAAGGAAAATAATAAAACAAGTGACAGTTCTTCCTCTTCTTGCAAAAATCAACACGAAATGTCATAATGGACAAAAGTAAAATGTCATCAGCTTTTGACATTTCTAAATATTAGATTATCAAAGCCGTAACTTAATAGAACAGTTGAAAGGAGATGAGGTCACGTTGCTAGTTAGATACTACGGATTAATAAATATGTTGGAGAATACATGGAAAACATAATTATTCCTCGTATTTTTAGTTTGTATTTTAAAAATGATATAGTTTACAAGAAATATACATTATATACAGTTAATAAATACAATATAATATATACCTATTTATAGTAATAAATACTTTGGCAAATAAATTATGAACCATACAAATGCAGCAAATGTTTTACAATATACAAATAATGAATAGGTGGTACATAAGATAATGGGTTATTATATGTTGTTTATATTTAAAATATAATTTTACATTTTGTAAAATATATTTTAAATTTTGGGGTTCGAAAATCGATCTAATTTAACAAAACGCATTCAATATCTACTAATAGTGATGTATTATTATTTGCATTCACAAAATTTATTTATATATTATAATGTTTACTGCAATTAATAAACTAATATAAACTTGTCAAAAGATGACCGCATATTTTTTTAAATTATTATTCTTAACACAAAAACTATCTACATTGACTAGGAAGTACGATTTCAGCCATATTGCAAAACATTTGCTGCATTTATATGATTCATAGTTTATCTGCCAAAGTATTTATTACTATAAATAGGTATATATATATTGTATTTATTAACTGTATATTATGAATATTTCATGTAAACTATATCATTTTTAAAATACAAACCAAAAATACGAGGAATAATTGATTTCCATGTATTCTACAACATATTTATTAATCTGTAGTATCTAACTAGCGTGACGTCATAAATCTCGGTCCGAGGCTGTTCTATTAGAGACGGCATTGCGTCAGCATGGCCGCAAGTTGCTAACCTAATAAAATTAACACTAGAAAAGCCCGCGGGAACTGTCAAATTCAAAGTTATTCGTTTTACAGACTATATCCATGTATTCATGCATGGTCGACGGAAAGAGGACTCTAGGGTGGGGATCCTGGACAGCTCCGTTTGACGATTCATTTGACATATTTGAATTTGATTTGGAATTTTGTAGATTTGTCAGTCTTTACTGAGATTATTTTATTTATTATTTATTATATTATCTAGAAGGAAATTTTGTGGCAGAACTTAAATTAATAGCGACACTATTGCGATTTATCGAAAAAGACTCTAAAATCGAGGGAAATAATGGAATAACTCCATTTTCCCCACAGAATCTGCATTCGCCGTTGTTTCTCAGCTTTAATCCACTGAGGTGTTTGTTGAGGAGACAGTGTCCTGTTAGAGACCCCGTGACATTCTGAAGATTCTTCTTAGTTAAATCAAGGATAATTTTTGATTTTTGTTGGTCGTAAGTTTTGAAAAATTTCTTCGAGGGATCTCAGACACACCCTAAAACGCATATTTAACAAATGATAATGACGTAACGTTGAACAATCACTGAACAGTCTTTATCTTATAAATTGCATTTACTCGGATTGATTCGATTCCTCCATGTACACATGAGTATAATTTTAATTAAAAAATAAATAAAGGTAACAATTTTAATTAAATTTCTGCTCCGTTTATAAAACTGAATAACCTTCGTCCAGTTCAATACCATTCGTAACTATCTGAAATTCTACCCTGCGGTCATCCTGTACAACCCCTAATTTCGCACGTGTTTGTGAAAGTCAATATACAATATTGATTTACTGATATTAAGCTTCTTTCTACTAATTAGGTGTGGTAAATAGTCTAGTAAGTACGACCTTGGGCGTTAGAACGCTCGAGTAGCCAGCGCCACACTTTGATACTACGAGGGTAGATCAATTACAATATCTGATAAATTCTTGCTTTTCTTTTGGCATTTTACTGATGGCATGTATGCCTCCTTGAATTTTTTAGATAGTATTTTAATACAGCGAAAACCGCATCTTGATATCCTCTTGCAAACCGAAGATATTAGCAAAATAAATACGAAAAAATAAAGCCTTTATTAACTTATTTTTATAACACGGTTGCAGGAGCCCTCTTGATTATGACCATTCTAATAAGAAATAAGATAGAAACGATTAGTTTATCCTAAAATCAACAATATACCATAATACCATAATAGCAGATCTATTAATATCTAATAATTAAGATATCAATGACAGTGATCAAAAAACGACGCCTCGGTGAAGTCATGGTAGGCTTTGGAAAAAAGTTGTTTTTGACGTAATAGTATAAACGTCAAAGTATTATTAGATCAATATTTTAGCAACGTTTTTTCTTTTTTGAAGAAAGACATTTTTAGAAAATCAATAAAAAGATAAAATACGCTGGTGAGCCTATCAAAATGTTGATATAATAATATTTTCATGTTTAAACTATCCCTTTAAAAGTAACTTTTTTCCATAAATCGTCGTTTTCCATAATTCCGAATCGTCGTTTCCATAATTCCATCGACCGAAGTCATTGATACTTGAATTATTATATATTAATACACCTAGTATTATGGTATTCTCATTCATTGTCGATTTTTTGAATAAAATAATCTTTTTATCTTTTGTTTTACTAGAATGGTCATAATCAAGAGGGCAAGTCATACCGTGTTAGAAAAATAAGGTAATTAAGGGCTTATCTTTTTGTATTTATTATAATTTTGCTAATAATTTTGGTTTGAAAAAAGATATTAGGATGAGGTTTTCGCCGACTTTTTAAGAATTTATTACTCTTTAGCATCAGCTAAAAATACATACAGGTTGTTAATTTGTTTATTACTCGCGGCAAGAGCTTTATGGTTGAAATATGGCAACCTCGGCCCGCTCGTCGATAGACGACGTACGGACGTGCCGACAGAGAAACCCTATAGGGGTGAGGGGGCAAGAGTGAACACTTAAGCTTTGATTGTTTATAAAGTTTAATACAAGACGTTAAAATAAATTTGCATATTGGAGAACAATCTTTGATAATACAAACTAGAAAAATATGTATAAAAAACTTCATCAAAACATGAAATAACAAAAATACAAACATTTTTTAAAACATTGTAACTGTACACCCTTGCCCCACCCAAGTAGCATTTGGACGTTATCTAACGTCGGGTATACGTCGCGTTCAATAACCTGACGACCCTTATTTGCACCTAAATGGGGAATACAGATTCGGGTCGCCTCGACGTCGGTATCTGACCTAATAGGGAATGTAATTCTACCAATTACCAACGTCATATTACGTTGGATTTTAGTTACTTAAAATTCGTCGCTAAGCACTTACGTTACGTTTGGTTTCATATTCGCTACCAAGAATACATAAAAACCTAACCAAACTACCTAATTACAAATGGATTCATGATCACTCCTCGAATATAACTATAAGTGCCTATCTAATTTCATATTATAATAATTCTGAATCATTAATCCAGACATCAGTTTTGTCAACGGAAGTCACTTTTTTGATATATCTGATTAAAATGCTCCGGAAAACAACGAGCGCCTTCAAAATTAGGTAGATTTATGAAATTAAAAATAGCTATAAAAAAGTTACTCGCAAAATATTTTTTTAATTTTCTAGCTGGTTTAATCATAAAACTGTACTGTCGTTCCTCCCAAACTCAACCTTATCAATATTATTCTACTAGAAATCGAAATGTGAATATAAATTTTAAAAACAAAAACGATTTTAAAATGGCTGACAATCGGATACGTGTTAAGAATGGCGGATTTCTGTGTCCGACTTAATATGAACTACCAATATACCAATTCCGATCGGGTCTCCAATATTAGTCGTCTCACACGACCGAAGTCATCAAACCGGACGACCGGCAATCGTATTATGACGTATATAATTCCAACGTACGCCACGTAACCTCACTTTGCGTATCAGTGATTTGTGGATTTGTGCAACTATATTTTAGTTTTTGTTTTCTCGTTAAAAAAAATGGGCAGCCACTTTTTTAAGCCTAACCTCACATGTCGGAGGAGGATGGGCTATCCTAAGGTCTGCTGGTATCCTAAGCTAAAAAATGAAATTAAGATGCACCAGTGTAATGCAGCATGTGTGCAAGCCGACGTGGGAACGACGTTGGGAAATTAATAAAAATGGTACGTTGTTATTTTGTACGTCGACAGATCGTTGGATTTACTGACTTCGGATCCAACGACGCCGCTTTTTAATGAAAGCGACGTCACAGGTCGTATCACGAGCACCTGACCTTAAATTTGCACAAAGTCTGACGTCGCTTCAGGTCAGATTTAGTTCGAAGTCAGATAGATGCTACTTGGGCACTGGTATGGAAGCAAGAGTAGACGATAAAAAATCCTAAGAAGGACGACAAAAGTCACAGTAAAAAAAATTATCAAAAGGTTCAACGTCTGTGCAGTCCTCGTGTGACCATAAGCCACATGTAGCACATCTTATCCAATCTTCGGCTGAGTCGCTTCGAAATTTACCTCCACAATAAATGCATTCACAATTATCGTCCTCTTTATTTAGTTTTTTGTTTCTTGACAACTTTCTTTCTTTGTTTTTATTCCCCGATACACCTGGCTCTTCCTCACATATGTTCCTTTTACCTTCAGTACTTTTTAGAATCTACGATTTTATTTTCTTTTCCTTCTAAAGACTCCTCTTTATACGGTGTTGTTGTTATGACTTCTGACTTTTTGCTGAACTCGGTTGTTCTTTTTTAGAAGCTTTTTGTTTAGATTTTGGAAGTGGTAGCAATTCTGACACAGACAATATTAGGACTTTCTAATTTCTTTATATCACTTTCTATGTCACCGTCTACGCTTTTGTCGCCTTTGCTTCTTTCGTTATTCATATTCATCACCTAATACTTCCATCAAACCAGCGTTAACTGCATCTGCTGCGGCGTGGTCGTCATCGGAAAAAACATTTGGATTGTATGGACCTGACGTTTTCATGCCGTTATGGACCTGACCTATACCTGACGTTCTGAAGCCGCTGCAAATATTATTAGGAGTAGCTGCTCTCATGAATACATTGCCTATTAAAGGACCCATGTCATATTCTGTGATTCGTTCTCCTGGATGGTTGGTCATCCAAATATCCATTTCCGAATTTAAATAAGATTTAAAAGGACCAAACACCGTGAGATCAAGGGGCTGAAGGCGATTAGTGCAATGTGGTGGTAACGTTATTACAACAATGCCATGCTCTCGACACAAATTTACTGCCTTTAAAGATTTATGGCTGCTGTGTCCATCAACAATAAGTAGCGTTGGGTTATCCTTACTAGCTCGAACTGATTTAATAAAATGCTCTACCACCTTAAAGTAGATATCCGTATCTATCCAACCGGTGAGGCGAGGAATTCCTATGGTTCCTGGAATAGCCCCGGTTAATAAATGGGGGTTCAGATTTACACGTTTGTAAATCAATACTGGAGGTATAAAAGATCCAAAAGCGTTTACACAGGCCACAACCGTTGCCATTTTTCCACGTTCAGCAGAAGTAGCTCTCCCAACTTGCTTTTTTCCTTTTTGCACTATTATTTTTTTTGGATTCTGAACCACAGTTAACCCAGTCTCATCAAGATTAAAAATACGATCTGGTTTGAACTGATATTTTAATTGAACCTCTTGTAGTAAGTAGGGTTCCCAACTTGAGCATCGGCGATTCCGGAACAATTATTTTTAAGCTTTTAAATAATTGAAACAAAGCATTAAATATTAGAAATTAAAATATATTATGTGTGTAGTACACACTTTTTTAGTTTCCAGATCCCGGCCAAGACAAAACTTTCGCCGGGACAAACTTTCTGATTCCTGGTTAATCCCGGCCAAACCGGGACGGTTGGGAACCCTAGTAGTAAGTCGAAAAATTGCTGAACTTTGGCTCTGGAAAATCCAGAAATACGTGCTATACTTGTTGCGTCTGGGGTTCGAATTGACAAACCTCCAACTATTGACATAAAGTTTTGTGCCCACTGTTTTCCAGCAATCCGCTTTTCTTTATTAAACTGATGATCGATATGATTCGCTTCGGCAAATTCAAATGCTAGAAGTCGCAGCTCTGTAGGGGAAATTCCATAAAACAATTTTTCTAGAAACAATACAGGGGTTCTTAATTCTTCTTCCTGTTCAGTATTAAATGTAGGTTTATATCTACCAATACTGACCACGATAAACTGATTTTTCTTAACTCGCTTCTGAAGAGTCGCTACCGCAATGCCATATTTTTCAGCAGCTTTTCGCAAACCAAGAGTTTTTGACTGAACTTCGTCTATTGCTTTGCTCATATCTTCCTCGGAATAGGAAGCCCTGCTGCTTTTTCGAACGTAATTGCGAACCATCCTGAAAAAAATATAAATAGAATAATTGGGGGCAAGAGTAAACAGCTGTTTACTCTTGCCTCACATAACGGATAATTAAATAACAAAGTTATTTTGTAACAACACGGCACTGGTGGTCTTACAAGCTAATATGAATTTATAGGTTAGGTTCTACAGATCGGTTATAGAATAGAAAAAAAAACAAAAATAACTACCAGACAGAAATAAAAGGTATAAACTAACAACTAATCCTTACATCGATGTATCATTAAAACAAAAACTCACGTTTTTTGCTTATTTTGTTTCAAAATTGGGTCAAAGTTACACAAACATGTACACGGCACGCGGTTCGCATTACAATGACCATTGGCGGCGAAAATTTCAATAATTAAAAATATTATTGAGCCGTTTACTCTTGCCCCCCTCCCCCCTAAGTGCATGCGTTCTCAATAGACAGTGTTGCCATTCTATTCTCCTATAAGTAACTGTGCAGTTAACAACCTGTATACTATCGCATTTAATTTTTCTGAAAAAACGCGTAATGTATGTTAAATTGTAAAATAGCGCCTCCTAGCGTCTACGTTCAAAGGCTTATTTTTATTGTTTATGTGGTATAATATAGTAAGAAACGCTCTTTTAAACGACCTTCATTTATTGGATTCCGATCATCCAGTCCGAAGTTATTAACATTTATATAAAAACAAATCTAACCTCCCCCCACCACTTTATTTTAGCAGTTAGGGGAAATGGTTCTAACAAAAAAGATCCAAAATTTACTGAAGATTATGAAACTATTATTTATAGTATATCGTATCTAGGCAAAATTTCTTAAAAATTCCATTTTGTTATTTTCCATAGCAATTACGCCCTCTAGGCCGTTCTACAAACTTTAAAATAATTTCCAACAATCTCTCATGATCTCTTTAGTTATAAATATTTTTTTCCGCAAGCCCGACTAATACTTTCCGAGACTAATACTTTCCGAGATACAGCCGAGAGCTATTCTTAGTGGGACACCCTGTACACATTGGTCGAATGTTTTCTTCTTTAGATAAAGTGGAATTCTAGATTTGAGTATTATGATTGATTTTTCTTGCATACTAAATTTATTTATATTTATTTCTATAATTAGCGATTTAACAAACATCACGTTTAAAACAAATACTCCAATTTGATTGTTGCCAATTCAATTTGAATGCGATTGGGTAAGACACTATCGGTCTACCCTCGTAGATAAGATTATCAGATCGATCAGAATGCATTTTTCCGGTTGGGAAATATGGACAGGCGAGCAAACGGCCGTCGTACCGAGCGATATGTAAAAGTAGCTAAGTGCAAAACGACTCGATCAAGGTGAGTAATTTCGCAGCCGGTCGAAGCCGGAAAAATGAGGAAAGCGAAATTATTGAAAGCGCGCGTACGTGAATGTAAACAAAACTAGATTAATATAGTATGGAACGAGTTTAAATTATTGAAGCAAATCCTGAAACATTTGGTGTACTTAATAAAATAATTACTAACTAATATTATTTTCCTAATTTAAATTAATGGGTATAGGCTTTGTGTAAATATGAAGTTTGTCGAAGAATTTTAAAAAGACATCGATTTAATAAAAAAACTCACAGATTTCGCAATCGCTGCAACCATCAGAGACATTGGAAATGATAACACCACATATAAAAAAACATAATTAACGTTATGATTTTTCATGCAGATACTTATACGTGTTATGAATCTCATAACGTAACTGAAATACTAAAAAATAGTGATGTAAAAACGTTATAACTAAACGGTTGTAGATAATAGTTATTTAATGCCTCTTCTTATTACAAACACTAGTTCATTGCTCTGTTTGACAAGTCTTACTTATTGAGAAATCGCTACTGGCTAGTAGTTAGTTTTAACTTTTTGCCAAATATTTAAGGGCATATTTTGACATTGGTGTTCTGTGTTCAACTAATATTATATATAATATTTAAAATAGTATATGTCGAGCAAGGTCGAAACTAATTGTCCAGGATTAATGAACTAGATAGCCACATATAAGTGTTGAGTCATTTGGGTGTTATACTTATTGTAAAGTTTAAAATTAAATTGTCATACACATTACGTTATTGCGTATAATGTTAATCAGTTTTTTGATCAAATAAAGAAATAAATCTCAACATTGTAATACACTTTTAATTAGAGAAAATATCTTTGATTTATATCGGCCTCGTTTTAACAACATAAAACTGTTTAACATAAATACCGTATCAAAAAAAAAACAACGTCGAAAACGGCTGGTAAATGACAATTTATGATAATTTTGGCGAGGGTAATTTCGAGATGTCATTTACTAAAGATTGATATAAAACTTGTTAAAAATTGACTCTGTTTATAGAAGGATTTAAAGAAAATATAACATTTTCAGACACACAAATCTATTTCCAAAAAAATATTTTTTTTTTAATTTTATCCATCCATTTTTCGTTTTTTTTTCGATCGTATGGTATATTTGTCTGGCCTTCATGATGCTGGCTATACCGGGACTTTTCCATTCAAACAATTTTCAATTAACGAAACAACGCTTACTTGACTATATCTTTATTTATTTATTGTTTTTTGTTTGTTTGATATTAGGTTAGTGACATTACTTTCAATATACAAGCTTTGTTTTTAGCATCAATGTCTTATTTCAATTAGTTAAAATAAAGCGCGTTGTCATTGTGGCAAACTTTTTTTCATTTTTAGAACCTTAACCACTCGACTGAAAATATTAAGAACAAATATTACATAATAAATACTAGTACTAGTGTTTTTTGTAATATTTTTAAGCCGCGTAACCTACTGCCGCGACCGCATATGCGGCATTTGGCCATTATTCGTTTGACCAAGAGCTCGTCAACGGGACTTCGCAATGGAAGTCCCTCAACAGACTGAGAAATGAAATTGCTTCCTCCCACTGATTCTACATGCTTATCGAATGTAATACCACAAGATGTTTCGGGATTACCGAATAATACTTTTACCTGACACGAAATGTGTTACCCGGCAACACTACGACTCTGAAGGAGGAGTAGTGTTGCCGGTATCCCCTTGAGCGAGGGGCAAACCGCTGGTGGCATTTATTGTACAAGCACTTGGTAATACTGGTATTTTTTGGTAATAATTTGGTATTTTTGGTACTAATTTGGTATTTTTGTTACTAATTTGATATTATTTGGTAATAAACTGGTATTATTTGGTAATAAACTGGTTTTATTTGGTATTAAACTAGTATTAAACAGGTATTTTGTTGGACATCTGGCAACGCTGGATTAGACGCAGGTGGCGACGACGGCCGGGAAGCTAATTGAATCATTTCTAGCCCATTTGCATCTAAAGCTAATACTGAAAAATATCTATATTTCTAGCCCCAAGTACATCTAAAGCTAATACTGAAAAATATCTGGAATCTAAAGGTGCTTTGACAAAATCGTTTAGTTCTGGAACTCTTTCAGAAGATACCACTCTACATGTTTTGGAAACTGGTTATACCCAAGAAAATGATATAGTTTCTAAAATACTAAAGCAATGGTTAAAGTCAAAAATTGGTGATGAACTCTGGAGCACTCTATACTGCAATAGTCTGTTTAATAACATTATTTTTAGCACATCAATTCTACTGCAAACTTCGAGGAAAACTCGATTTCGGTATCGACTTTAATATGCAAAATAACCTGCTTTTGAAAAAGCAAGTAACTTTACAAATAAAATATCATCCTTCTACAAAAACCACAAAAACATGAGTTACAAAGGCACGCTGGGTAAGCTCAAATTTTCAAACACACTTGATAAAGCATTTTGATATAACAAATAAACTATTTATACCAAAAATTAGTAATAATCGCAGTGTTAAATCCGAGATTAAATCAGAGGTAAGCAATAATTCTTCAAATACCTCTGAGGCACAACCAAAAATAACTTCATTTCTAAAAAAGCCTTCTACCGAGCCTTCTACGAAAAATACCGAGGAAATTACAGAGGCATGCAAACCCTCAGGTAGCAAAATTGTACCCGCTAATCTAGTATGTGAAGCTCCATGTAATCAAAGAAATCCTAACGTAAAAATACTAGACTGCGTAATTATCCCCCCAACTGAACGAGCCTCGGAACTACCCTTATCAGCCGCCACTTTAG